AAGTGTAGCTTCCTGAAGATAATCAATTTTCCCTGAAATGTTTTTGTTTGAGGGTTCTATTTACCACGCCGCTATCCTCCCTTGCTATCCTTTCTTAAAGGCAACCACTAAGACACAGAATGCTAAAAGGAGTCTGAGGCCATGTCAGATCACAGGCAGCATTCTCTTCCTCTCTAGAGAGAAGGCTGCCCGGGAACAGACTTTGTGTTGGGCATAAACAGAAGTTTCAGGGAGCTGGGCACACCCTCAGGGCCTGTGCAGCAGGCCCGAGTCATGGAGCAAGGACAGAACCAGAGTGAGGAGGGAGGGCTTCTCAGTTTCCCTTCCCCAAAACTCAAGGTTTGCATATGATTATAAACCGTTATGGTTCCTTTTACTACAAAAACATCTGGGCCCTGTTTGGGGGCATCTCCTTTCAAGAAAGAACACTGACATATGTGATGATAAAGAAAATGAGACCAGAATCTGTGGAGAGTCTAGAATTAACATGGCAGCGGGAAACGTGAAGATGGGAAAAAACCACCCAGAAGCAATACTATTCAACTCCTGTGACCAAAAAGCACAAAGAATGCATTAGGCATCTGCATTCGCTTTTTGGGCAGTGAAACAAAGGGGCATCCTTTCACAGAGCTAGAACTTCTGCAGAACGAGGTTCGAGCTCTAGGTGAAAGAGGCCTGTGACAGGAAGCTGGCAATCTGACCTTCAAGGCGGCCTTTCCCAATGGGTTCCACACCACAGTACATACACACCTTGGTCGTATTTGATAGCACGCTGGGGTAAGCAGACAACTTCAGCAGGCGGACCCTGGGGACTGGAGCCAGCCCAGGCAGCCGTGAGGGCTGAGGGTGCACTGTTTCCCATGTGGCTGAGGCCGGTCTGGCTGATGCTGTCCACTGCAGTCGCCCAGTGGTCAAGCAACTCCGTATTTCTGTGTGTTCTAACCTCTGAACTGGTCGGACCCTGGATGAACAGACAGGCGCTACCCTAGTACCCCCCACCTCCCTCATTCCGGAGGTCCTCATGGTAAACTGACTTCCTGGAAAGGGAAAACTTCTGGTTCAGCAGCTGTATTCCGCATCCAAGGGCCTACTGTGTGACAGGCACGGCCTCTCTAATTGAGGCGAGTGTGAAAGGGCATATTTTTTTTAAGGACTGACCAAAAATGTGGACATGGTGAAATGAGGCAAACAAAGCCTCAGACAGAAGCTCCAAACAGCCAGCTACACCAAATGCACCAAGGAAAAATGGATTTTTGCAAGGGCAAAGGCAGGCAGCAGGCCTGGGGGAACAAACCCGGTCACCCCTGAATGGGGCCATTGAGCTGATTTATAAAGGATCTTGCCAGTGTCCCTTGCTGCGCGAGATTGATGTGTTCTTCCTCCCAAAGTTGTGGTCCACACAACTTGTTTTCTGGGGAACCAAGGAATCCACTCCAAGGATGTACATCCATTATTTTCAAACCTTAATTAACTGGAACCCAATTAGGACTTTTGAGGGCTTTTTCTCCCCCTCACTTTGAAGGAAAACTTTTCTCTCTCTCTCTCTCTTTTTTTTTAAAGGATTTTATTTGTTTATTTGACAGAGAGAGATCACAAGTAGACAGAGAGGCAGGCAGAGAGAGAGAGAGAGGGAAGCAGGCTCCCTGCTGAGCAGAGAGCCCGATGCGGGACTCGATCCCAGGACCCTGAGATCATGACCTGAGCTGAAGGCAGCGGCTTAACCCACTGAGCCACCCAGGGGCCCAAAAACTTTTCTCTCTTAAGTCAGCATGATGTAAATGGAGGAAAATTGAACAAAGAATCAGCTATCTGATTTCTTGCATATAAGCAATTCACTTAACCTTTGGGGGGGCATCAGCTTGCCAACATATAAATTGTGAGAGCCAATGAGATAGAAATATCTAAGGCTGTTTTCAGCAATTAAATTCTGATTCTATGATAAGCCAACAGATCAATAACAATAATCTGTGATCATTCTTCTTCCTTGACTACCATACCCTTCCTACTGTGAGTTGAGATCACCTAACAGTGACCTTTTATAGTTTTATAGTTATAGAGCATTTCTTATATTTAATCCAATCAAACATTCTAACAATCTGATAGGGTAAGATCTCTAAGATGTTATAACAGAAGCCCTCTCATTTGAGGTGCTTGAAGGAGTGGTTAGTAAGTTATTGTAGGGGCTGGCTAAGGAGGAGAATCAGGGGCACCTAGGAGACTCCATTGGTTAAGCGTCTGACTTTTGGTTTCCGCTCAGGTCATGATCTCAGGGTTCTGGAATCGAGCCCTGTGTTGGGCTCGCCGCTCAGCGGGCAGTCAGCTTGAACTCTCTCTCTTTCTCTTTCTCCCTTTGCCCCTCCCTCCACTTGCCCTCGTGCATGCACTCTCTAAATAAATAAATAAAATCTTTTAAAAAAAAAAGAGGGGAATCGTACATGAGATATATTTATAACTAATCATTTAATTTACATAAATGTACATTCATTGTTTTTCAAAATATAAAACTTTTTTTTTAAGATTTTATTTATTTGACATAGACAGAGAGCAATCACAAGTAGGCAGAGAGGCAGGCAGAGAGAGAGGGGAAGCAGGCTCCCTGCTGAGTAGAGAGCAGGATGTGGGGCTCGATCCCAGGACCCTGAGATCATGACCTCAGCCAAAGGCAGGGGCTTAATCTACTGACCCACCCAGGCACCCCAAAATATAAAGCTTTTTAAAAGAGGATGATAATTGATTTCTACATTTTTTTCTGAATAAATTACTCATAATTCATTGTCTATAATTTGTAGTTTTGTTTCTTTTTAATTTTTTTTTTTTTTGAGAGAGTGAGAGAGTGTGATTGAGAGCGAACAGGAGAAGGGGCTCCATTTCATAACCCTGAGATCATGACTTGAACCAAAATCAGGAGTTGGACCGTTAGCTACCTGAGCCACACAGGCACCCCTACAGTTTTTGTTTCTTTAAGAGAGGGAGAACGTAGACATCTGTAAAGCCATCTGAGTACAGAATTCTTCCTGAATTTTATGATTTTTCCCTCCTATTTTTATATAGTTGTCACAGGCAAACAGCGGAATTTTTACAGATTCATCCTTCCTGAATCTTTTCAGACAGTTTCAGTTTTCACAGAAACAACAGCTTTCTTTTTTATGCACTTATCTGATCAGTATATCTTATTTGATTTGGGTAAACAGCAAGGTTTTTTGATGCACACAACTGCCTCAGTGGGAGCCGAGGCAGGAGGGAGCGTGAGGCAGGCTGCACAGCGCACCACAGGCACCGATCCCTGCACAAGGAAGGACGAGCACCAGCTGAGGAGACCCTGAGGCATCCAGGTGGAGAGTTCGAGAAGGCAGAGGGAGAGGCCTGTTGAGGCCTTGGGAAGGAGGGCAGGGCTGGAGAGACAGATTTGGGCATCATCAGCATCCAGTTAGTAGTGACAATCCTAAGAGTAGAAGAATTCATTCAGGGAGTGTGGATACAGACAAAAAGGAGGGTGGAGAAGACTCCAAGGAACGAGAATCCTACAGGGGACAGCAGAGGAAGAGGCTTCTGCAAAGGGACCAGCAGGACATTACTGGAGATGTCTGAAGAGAAGCAGAGAACCAGGAGGCGAGCTTCAAAGGCGAGCTTCCAAATGCAGAACCAAGTCCAGGAAGCAAGAACTGAAAAGCATCCTTGGATCTGACAACCAGGCAGCCACTGGAGAGTGAGATCCTGGGTGTGTTCTGCCCCCACCAAGGATTTCCCTGAAGGAAGGAAGGGAGATTGTCATCTCCTGTACCTTTGGTCCCTCTTCTCCCAGCTCTGCTGGCTTCCCTAGCAGCCAGTCGGCCTCCTGACTGCCCATCAGCATTCACAGACAGGTCCGTTCAGGCCAGGGAAGGAGGAGTGTGCGAGCTCTAGAAGGTGCCCTGACTCCCTCAAGCACAGGCAGAACAGCGCGTCCACTTGCCCCAGATGCTGCTAACTTACTCCTAGGACCAAGAGCAGGAACTATTTGCAATGCCGGCTGAGAAGCATTAGTGACATTTATCACAAAAGCTAGGATGAAATGAAATCTTCAATTACAAGTTTTAAAACAAAGCTTTTTGAGATCCCTCCACGCTGGAAGGCTCGGACAAAGATGTCTCTGTGAGGCTGCCCCCTTGGCGGTGGTCTCCCTCAGCCAATCCTGCTGCTAAACTCATTTTTCAAATGCCGAGAGACTTCCCTCAGCCTATAGTGAGCAGGCAGAGAGAGCAGGTTCTCAGGGGCTTGGGTAAGAATATAAATGAGAAAAAAAAGCTGCACAATACAGAACACAGGCTCTACTATATAACGTACTGATAACTGGCAAGGAAAGGATTCCTAGGTTTTAAGAGTTGCCACACATGGAAATGGACATGGAAATGTGACCAAGTTTGAGTGACAGCTACCTAAGTCCCAGGGGGCCACTGGAGGAGCTGTGATACGCAAAAGTAATCAGTACCATTCCGGGCTGCCATGTTCCTCAACAGTCAACATTCCCCAGTCTCCTCAGCTCTCCGCCTCTTTAAATATGAATCCAGAATTTATAAACATATGACTCTTTTTGGAAGACAAGGGATAAAAAGAAACACGTTTTTTAAAAAGCCTCATCATCAGATACTGGTCAACTGCCTTGTAAACTTCCCTGTTCCTGTCCCTGCCTCCATTCAGAGGGATGTGAGGTAGAAAGTGAGGGAAGGCTCAAATGCTGGGTTACAGCCTGGCCAGGAAAGACCAGCTGGAAGTGCTGGTCACAGGGCCACCCACACAGACACCGCTCTTTTGCCTTGGCTCATGTCAGTGGGCTTCATGTGCCTGTGAAGTTTGGAGGGTGGGAAAGAGTTAGTCCCTGCCTGCCTCAGAGAACAGTTTCAGTGCCGTGACTGGGGAAGAAAGAACGGAAGATCCCAAGACTGCCATGTTGAACCTCACGCATGCTGGGTTCAAGCATAAGTCAAATCTGTTGGTTGCACCAAAAAAAAGAAGTGACTGACTTGATCCAGACGCAGCGCGCCGTCCACAAACCGTTGTTTGCGTAACTCCTTTGCGATTCCGTGGAGATTCAAGACAGCCCGGTGCACCTCCTCACTGGTGTGCTCGGGGGAGATGGGGGGCAGCTCCTTCTCAGGGATTTTCTCGGTCGGGCTTTCAATCATGCTCTGTGCGTGCTCGTAGCTCAGTTTGGTACAAGAGCGAATGATGGTCCGACCAAACCATTCACCAAGGATCTGCAAAGACAGATTGAGAGGGAATCAGGAGAACTTTTTCCAGGCTTTTCTTTCACGCAACCATTCATCTATACACATTTTACAGAGATCTACCAAGCACCAACCCTGTGCTCAGAATGGTGTTACATTCTAGCTAGGCACGGAAACCGATCAGATGAGGAAACGGCTGCCCTCAGGGAGCTCAGGCTCCGAGGGCTGGATTTAAGAGGCTGTGGAGGTCGAGAGAAGGTCTCCAAGCACACAGGTGGTACAGGCCAGGCCCAGCGGGAGGGAAACTCAAGGTGAAGGGCCTGCTGGAGCACCTTTCCATTACTTTGAGTGAGTGGTCATTAACAGCAAAACTGGAAGAAAGATAAGGGATGGGGGTAGAAGGCAAAGATGTGACACATGGGCAATCTGAAGACTTGGTAATGGATTGGATGTGGGGTGAGGGAGACAAGGGGGGGGTCACTGACAGAAACAGAGAACACAGGTGAGAGAAGCAGGATGGAGGCAGAAAGAGAAAAGGAATTCCGACTTATTCTATTTGGGCCATTTATGTGAAGACAACGGTCCAGAACAAGGTTTCTCAACCCCAGCATTATTGAGTGGGCTAATTCTTTGTTGTGCGGGGTAGCCTGTGCATTGTAAAATGTTTGGTGATATTCCTGGGCTCTGCCTGATAGATGCCAGCAGCCTCTCCCACAACCCCAAGCTGACAACCAAAAATGTCACCAGACATCGCCAAACATCCCTAGGGGAAACTTGGCCCAGGCGGAGGCCCACTGGACTTGACAAATTGAGCAGTGGTGTTTGCTGTCATGGGATTACTGCTGATTCATATTTTATCCTTAAAATTTGCCTGTATTTTCTATAATGAGCATTTATTGCTTTTTTTTAAAAAATAAAACAAACGTTAAAATATTTTTGGGACTGCCGAGTCTGAGGGGCAGGGAGGAGATCCAGATGGTAGGCTGTGTAGCAGGCAGCTGGGGTGTGGGCCTGGGGTCTGGGTCGATGACTCATCTACGGGTGGGGAACTGGCAGCCTCGGCAGGAAGGTCCGAGAAAGACAGACGGAAAGGGCAAGGGAGAGTCAAGGCTGCACTCTCTACCACCTCTCCACGTTAGGGGGCAAAAAGAGACTCTGGAGAGTGAAAACAAAAAATGAGAGAGCTCAAAGGGACAGGAGAAAGATCAGGGTGTCCAGAGATAGGGGAAAGGTACTTAAAGAAAGGAGTCCTCAGAAGCCACAGCAGACACACCCAGAGCACTTGAGAGGGGACAAGAAGCTTCCCCCAGTGCAGCCATTTCAGGCAGTGACCCTATGATATAGTTTTGTTATCCTCACTCTGCAAAGGCGGGAACTGAGACACAGACATGGTAAGGGACCTGTTTGAGGTCACAGGCTGGGGAAAGGCACAGCCAGGAACTGAGCCATGGCCTGAGTCTGAGCTCTTAGCCACCACTAGGGAGAGTCAAATGTCACTTGGATGTCAAGGAAGATAAAAACAAAGAAAAATCTTTGCATGTCACATTTGTTTCTTGGTGATCTTTTGGACAGCTTTTTAGGGGGAAGGGCATGGGATGGGGGTGGTGGTGGTGGTGGTGACATAGAGGCAAACTATAATTTCAGGCCCTGTGCTGTGCATGGATTTGGAGAGGCTGCCACTGTGGGCCCATCCACTGTAGGGGAAGCCAGATCCACCTGCCGTCAGCCCGGCGCACACAGCCCTCAGGCGAGGCAAACAGCAATGGCTCCTCCGTGGGCCATGATGGAATGAAGTTCTGGAAGCTCGGGGTTAAGGATAGGTGCACGGCTGGTGGAGGAAGGGTAATGAGTGTGGATGACTGCTTCTGGATTGTGCTGGGTTTGTGGGGTGAGGGAAGAGGCACCCATCCACGAGAGAGGAAGAGTGGCCTGGAGAGGAGGCAGGAAGGAAAGGGGAGGCGAGGGAGGCAACTCCGGTGGGAGAAGTGGGGAGGGGAAAGCTCCACTCTAGCTCTGCTCTATGGGGGAGAAGGCGAAGGATGAGGAGGTTAGGTGGGGCTCAAAGGCATGAAGAAGTTGAAAAGCTCTGAGAGAAATACTGTGGGGAATGGATTCGTGGGCAAGGAAAACTAGATGTTCTGAAAGGCAGAGGGGGCTCGGGAGGAGGGAGGTCAGTCTAATCAGTTGCGGGACCTCTCTGCCTGGACTTGCAAACATCCCCTCTGCCTTCTTTTTCATGGGTCAAACCATTCTGTTCACAGCCTCCAAAATATACTTCCTGAAAAAAAGCCATCTGAAGGATCCATGGGTATTTCTGGGGTAAAGGAGAAAGCCCAGCCCAGAGGAGCTGTCCACACCACACAGCCTCTATGGAACATGCTGGCTACTACCCTGGAAGGCGAGAGAGACACTGACCCCTAAAATACCCTAACCTTCCCCTGAAGGAAGAACCAGTACTCTTAAAATAGCAGCCAAGAAGCACAGGAAAAGGATGGTAAAAACTACTCTCCTTTTCCTTTGATTCAGTGCAAAGAGCCCCATTATACATAGAGTCTTGGATCTGTAATTCGGACTTTAATTTTCTTAAAAACAACAAAAACCAACCCTTAAACTGCACTTTCTGGATTATTCCAAGAACCACTCCTATCCAAAAATATAAGTGATTCAAATACTGTGCTCACGACTCTTCTGCTGCAGCAAGTAGGTCCTGAATTTGGCTCTCAGGAGGTGTCTGCATGTGTGCTGAATGCAAGAGAAATGAGAGAGCCAACTCGAGGTATCGTCCAACAGTCCCGGTGGGGAAGTAGTGCACGCAGGTCTCCAGAAGAGCCCCTTTCAAGGTCAGCCCATGCTTGTCCTTCTATTACATCCACATTTCCTGAAAACTCCCCACTAATGGAGTCGCTCCAAGCTCCTCTAGAATGACAGGGCCACGACCCATTCATTCTTGTGGTCACAAAGTTTTCCCCTGGAGATTAAGCTTGTTTCCTTTTCTCAACTGCACTCCAAACCCAGTCAACCCTGCTCCTTCTATGTGTCCATTTTGTTTGCCAGTCTGTCTTTAGCATGCGTGGGGAAACTTTCCTTTCCTTTCGATTCCGCACACCTTATGAGTAGTTCCACCGATTCCCTCAGGTATCCAAGTCATAGGCTATCTGGCCTCCTGGGGTCTGTGTCCTATTTTTCCTGAAGGACTCAGGAAACCCCAGCACACTTCTATGGGTAACCACCACACATAGCTCAGGCAGTCTCCCAACAGCCTGACTGGGCATCTATTTTCAGGTAAACTAGTGGGTCAAGAACTGCTTTAAAAAAATCTAAAGAAAGCCCCAGGTTCTCTCCTTTGAAATATTTATGCACCAAATTTTGCAGTAAGTTCCAGAAGGTTCTCAGACACTCTGCCAACCCCAAGCCCATATGTCCTTGCTCTAAACAGAGCTTGTTTCTCCCTCAAAGCCCTCTGATTATGGTGCTGAGTGCTGACTAGAGGCCACTTTTCATCCTCAAGAGTTCGTAAAATTTATTATCTGTAACTTGGCAAAATCAGAAGTCTACCACTCCTTACCAAAATTTGAGAACAACACACAGAGGCTACACCGTCTCAGTTAGTTTGAGCCAATTTTCCCCTAATGGGCACCTCTGCTCCTTTAGCTTGTTTCCTTATCAGTCGATGACAGGCAGCCTTCTTACCAGCACACAGGAACACCACCAAACCAGACTATGGCGCAGACGAGAAGTTTCCTAGAGTGCTCTCACCTTACTTGAGCACCCCTTCCCGCTCACGCCTGCATCCTAGAAAAATCTGCACCAACCTTTTTTTTGAATATACAACGGGCCCAAGAGGAAGCTTTGAAGAGCCATCAGGAACATTCTGGCCCAGGGACAGTGGCCTCAGGCAGCAGAACCTATCCTGCTTTAACACAATCCAGTGATTGTGGGAATCATCCTATGCACAGATTTAAAACAAATCTGAGGCTGGGGGGCGCGGCTGGGTGGCACAGCTGGTTGAACGTCCAACTCTTGGCTTCAGCTCAGATCATGATCTCAGGATGGAGACTGAGCCCCGGGTTGGGCTCCAGGCTCCGTGCCAAGTCTGTCTGAGATTCACTCCCTCTCCCTCCACCCCTGACATGCACTCTCTCTCTCTCTCTCAATACATAAATAAACAAAATCTTAAAAAAGAAAATCCTAGGCCAGAAAAAGCGGAGAGGCAGCAGAGAAGCAAGGATACCCATCACTGCCTTACATACAAGGGCAGCAAGAAAACGAAGACCCAAATGGGGGTGGGGCAGGGTTCCCAGGGGCAGCATGCCTTACAGCATGGGAGGAAGGTTTCTCTCTGGATAGAACACCTCATTAATCTCCCATTTGGAAAATGTCTTCACATCAACGCCCTGTCCATAACCAGGGCCAGTGGCAGGAGACAAAAGGACAAAGAGTTTTTCATGGAAAAAGTAAAAAAGCCACGAGGAGCTTCATAAACAAAATCCTTCCGAAAGAAGATCCTGTCCTCCTCTCCTTTGCTTCATCAGGGGATTTGGGTCACTCCCTTTCTGCAGGCTGCAAGTTTCCCGCATATTCTCTAGGACATGGCTGTCTAAATGTCAGCTTAAATGCTGTGCCAACAGGCACTGAGGGCAGATGGCTGGAAGCACCCTCCTAAGGAAGGAGTGCACAACGTGTACCTCCAGACCTCCTTTCCCGTACCAGGTAAGCGAGGAAATGGCACAACCCTGGAGGGCACCTGGCCCCCTTAGGCTGCAGGGCGCTTTCATACCTACTGCCTTTTAGAATCTCTTCAACTCATCTGATGGGAGTGCACCGATCAGCCCATTTCACGGCTGAGAAAATAGGCTGGCAGTCTGAAAAGTCACACAGTCTCCTCATTGGCAGCCAAGACTGGGTCTGTGTCTCACTATGTAAGATTCAAAATTCAGTGTCACGTGTCACACCACAGCTGAATACACTCTATTTCAGCTGAGACTGACAATAAGGTAAAGGAGACAAAGAGTGCCTCAAATACATACCAA